GCCTCAATAGGAGCTGATTGGGGCCAGGCTGGGGGTAGGGGGGGGAGATGCAGGAGATTGGCTGGCCCACCGCACCCCTGATGGGGGGGAGGACAGCAATCAGGGGCCGGGCCAGCCAGGTGGGGAGGGGATTCAGAAGGTTGGAGGGGTGTTTATTGGGGCCTCAATTGGGCTGGTTGGCTGGCGCAATGCACGTCTCATAGTGACCAGTCATTCTGGTCATTCCATCATTACCTTTGCTTGGCTTTTATTTTTATTTTTTACTTTTTTAAATATATTTTTATTGATTTCGGAGAGGAAGGGAGAGGGAGAGAGAGATAGAAACATCAATGATGAGAGAGAATCATTGACTGGCTGCCTCCTGCACACCACCTACTGGGGATCGAGCCCGCAACCCAGGCATGTGCCCCTGACTGGAATCGAACCCGAGACCCTTCAGTCCACAGGCGGACTTTCTATCCACGGAGCCAAACCAGCTAGGGCTCTCTTGGCTTTTATACTAGTGTATGTAGATTACATCATTGTAAACATTTAAATTAAAAAGTCTAAGACAATTTTAGTAGTCTTTGAGGGAAATATAACTTCCAATAATAGTAACAGAAGTTAATAGGTCATTAATGAAAATAAATTGTTTTGTGTACTATAAGCCCTGTGTTCTGAGACTGTGATAAACAATGCTAGAATTGGATTGGGAGTGATCCATACCCTGAAATAGTTATACCCCAGGAATTAATCAAAGGCAGCCAGGACCAAAATAGAAAAGCAGAGTGCCTACTTTTTCCCTTGACCTCATTAATATTTGCATCACTCATCAAACTGTTTTTTGAAAGGGTAAGATGAGAACATTTCCTTAAGTTTGCTTGCAGAGAAGAGTTTAGGTTTGGTTTGGTTGTTTGAAGTGGATAGTTAGTGTAGCGTAAGCTTCACCATTGTGTGGCGTTCTCACTTCAGGTTCCTTACCCAGAGTTGAAGGCAAACAGGATCAGTCCTGGAAAAAAAAAATGAGCAAGAAAATAGAAAATTGTGTGGGAACTAGTGAGGGAACCTTTGTTTGGGAACTAGTGTGACTGAACTGCAAAGTTGATGAATTTTCTCAGTGTAGCTTCAGATTCCACTTTCCAACCCCTGCTGGCTCAGTAGTCTGGCTGGCAAGTGGAATTTGCTATAAGATTCTATCTAGCTTGGGTTAGAGGAAAATAAGAACTTTTCTTTCCCCACCAGTTCTTTGCCTTAATCTGGTTGATTCTTCATGGAGCCACAAAGGACTTTATAAACCATGAATATCAAACTCTGCACATAAAACCCACATTTATCATTTCCTTTTTTCCCATAGACCCATGTGAGAGATTTTGTCCACTCAACAAATTGCACTAAATTAACAAACTTTTCAGTAGTAAAGGTAAAATATATCTTTAATGCTGAACAAAGTTTTATAGGTCTTGGGCCTTTGATCTGTTAGGTTTTTTGGTCAAGCTTCTGAGCATACTTAAGATGTGAGGGGGAAATGGCTGAAGCAGACCCACTGCACTCAATGCTCTGAGCTGAAAACACTATATCTCTGTTATTCCATAATTACATGTTTTATCTTTTCTAAAATGAATAAGTTATTTTTTAGTTCCCATTTTTACAAGACCAGGAATTGGCCAGCAAACCTTATATGTCAGCAACACAAGTTTCTCTAAATATAACTAAGACATTCTTAGAAAAGTAAATTTTAATTAATTTTAGGCCCATTTTTGACAAATTATAAATCATTTTAAAACAAAGTTTAAAATATAAACTTCCTGAAAAAATTTGTTAATTCCAATAGAAATTTGGGGGCATCCCATAAATATGCCCAGTGCTCTTAAAAAGCAATTCTAAAACCTGGGTTATTTATCCTTTAGCATAAATACCCTCCAGTGAGATATCTAACTTGACTAACTCTCTAGCCTTAGCAGATACTAAATTAAATATCTTCCATTTCCAAAGGATATTACATAAAGTAAAAATTTGAATCTTTCCTTAATTATAACTGTATTTAAATAACACATCTTTTAGAGTATACTGGTTATCTACATTTTTTAGTGGTTAGAGGCATTGTTACCATAAATAACATCACTTTAGCAAATGAAAATCAATAGATTATAGTTGAAAAGGAGATTGGCCTTTGGGCCTTTGAGTCTTTAAAACTGCATATGAGAAAGATGACAGAAAGTGAGCAGAAAGGTAATTCATACTTTATTGTTAAAATGAGGATTTGGCACCAATTCTCATATGTATTTTTGTGGCATGTTAATGCTTCCAAATAGTAATATCCCATTTATTACATTGAATATGTTGGCTTTCTCCATGTGTCACTAATACTATTTAAAAAGCAAGTACCCAAAACTATACTAGCTAAATTTTCTTAGTCAATTATAAGTAATGCTAGAGGCCCGGTGCACAAAAATTTGTGCACTCAGAGGGGGCGGTCCCTTAGCCCGGCCTGTGCCCTCTTGCAGTCTGGAACCCCTCGGGAGATAATGACCTGCTGGCTTAGGCCCGATCCGGGTGGCAGAGGGCAGGCCCAATCCCTAGGTGTAGCCCCTGGTCGGGCTCAGAGCAGGGCCCATTGTGGAATTGGGGCACCGCCCCCTGTCATGCACAGAGCAGGGCA